GTTGCTGATTATTTAGGAGTAACTGTTTATTTAATGAATTGGGAATTTCTTATATATTTGCTGCTTGCGACTTCATAGCTACGCGTGTAAAATTGTAGATGGTAAGCTATTGATGGTGGTCAAACGACAGATATAAAACAAAATTAAAAGAAAACATTTATACAACGCCTTCTAATAATTAATTCATAAAATAATTAATAAAATTGTAGTTGGCAAATTGAAAATTATTACGAAATTAATTGTTTTCTTCTTTTGTTGCGTTTATTCTCAAATCTCGTTTAACTTATATAGATCCGAGATATATAGTTAGAGATATATAGATAGAGAGAGAGAGATAGATAGATATATATATATATATATTTATAATTATCAGCATATTCTGTAAAAATATTTCTTTCGACACTATTTAAGATTTTTTTATATATAAAAATGATAAATAGTAACAAATCAGAAGAAGCAGCACGACAGACTTGTATAGAATAGTTAGTTCATGACAAGTATGGATAGATAAAGACATAGGTAGGGGAGACAGCACAATTAACAAAAATTGCATTTTTCATTGACGAAATTTTCCAACGTACCTGATCTTTAGGTCACATGTGCTGTAACTATTCAGGTATCATATTTTTAACTTAAATCAAACATAAAATAAACGGATAAGTCGTATGTTAAAACCCCGTGTTTGGGGCTAGAATTAACATAGTAAGTATTAACGTCATGTTATACTAACGAATATGAAAAAAACAAATATAATATTATTTTGTAATAATGAAAGTGAAATCAATATAATAGTATAGAACACATTTTTCATATGAATTGACATTACAAATTACAGAATATTTAAACATGAACAAAAACTTATAAATTCTTTAAAGTATTATAAATAATCAACAATATACTTTTATTAAAATCAAATAATAAAAAATTCGATTAAGAATATTGAGCATACAAATTATCTATTCATATTCATCATCGTCCGAAATACAATTCAGGCAAGTGAAATGTGATATCATCGTCTCTTTACAAGAGATACATCGATCCAATCAATAGAACTATATGAAATACCACAAACAATACAAAGAGAAGTATACTTTCTTTAATACTTTTCTCTTTGCCTTTTCTATTTTCTCGTCTTTATTTATTTTTCTATCTCCCTTTGCCTTGCTTTTATTCTTTACCCTTTCCTTCATCTTTTTTGTTCTCTTTGTTCTGTTTTTTTTTCTGCTATTTTCCTCTTTTTCAGTTCTTTAATATGGTGTTCGTCTTCCAGAGCTTTTTTTCGGGCATATCGGCGAGAATGGCAGATTTTTTGGCCCTTTTACGAGTAGATGGAAGTAAAGGTCTTACAGTTTCAACCGAGAAGTCACCAGCATCTCTCTATTCCTGATGTTTTAGACATGTTTGAAATCACTTACATATTATGTTTAGTTATTATTTCTAGTAGACCTTTAAGGATTTGGTTCCTCGAGTAGTTTTACGTTTGTATGTTCTCATTATGTAATAAAATGTAAGAAAAAAGAATATAAAACATAGGTATCATTTGTACAGTATATATTAACACGTTTATACTTACCCCGCCGATTTGTTAATTTTAGCCCCAAGGGTACATTTTTTGTTTTAAATAGCATAATAAAAATATTTTATAAAAATCTTGTCAATTGAGTTATATGGCATTATTAAGTATGAAATATACTGCTAGGAAAACAAAAAAACATAATATTATGCCACATATTGTGAGCATAAATCAAAAAATTGTAAAGTTAAAAATGTTCGTTACTTGCGTAATAAAGTGGTCCAATCCACAGCTCAGTCGCATAACGCGCGATGCACAACTGACCAATCCCGAGTCACGTGGCGTGATCTAGGCGACGACTTGAAAGGCGTTGTATAAGTATGTATAGTTTTAGAGGCTTGTTAATACTTGCCTCTGTTAATTGTTACATTGCAAAAATATTAAGTAATATACATGTCACTAACGTAAACGGTATAATAGTATAGATACAAAGATTGAAAGTATGTTTTTTATTATTAACAACAATAATAATCAAGTGGTAATTTCATAAGCAAGCAAATATCATCGTCTTGGATAAATAGAACGATAAATGTATATTACCTACTCAATTCTTTATTCTTTATAACGAATTGTTTTCGAACGATAATAAAAGAAAACATTGGTTATTAATGTTTTAGTTATTTTAGTATTATTTCTTATCTATACATCATTTGTACAGTTCGTACTTACTTTACTTTTATATTATCTTTGAATAAATGTTCTAAATTTTATGGAGAGCGATCTATCTGTCGAAATATAAATTAATGGGTCCGACTTTTTAAAGTTACAGACACAGTATTTAGTAGTCCCATCTTCGTTACTTGATGGGTGACGAAAATGCTAATATTAGAAGTATTTGTTAATATGTTTGCTCAACTACCTATTATTGAATAGGAAAACTACCGTAGAAATAGATCTGATCTTACAGATTAATTTTCATTCTACCTCATGTTCCTATTTCATTCTCGTTTTCTGGGCAGATGAAGATGGAAAACTTATTTATTCCCATTGCAATTTGCAACCTATATTACTTACTATTTCTTGAATTCACGTTAAAACTGGAAGTGCCTAAAGATATTAGGTAGGTACTTAACGTAATTCATATGGATCTAATTTCTATGTAGGATATTACGCATAAGTAATAGGTAATTTATCCGTCGATTGATACATCTACGTTAGCGTAGCTAGGTCGCTTTAATGTAAATTTGCATTTACACCAAGTTTGTCTATCTTAAAACTTATTCATAATTCGCATACCTACGCAGTAGCAATCCGGGTTTCATGTAAATTTATTTATATGTAACGAAGGACCATGATCCGATTTAACTGTCAAAACATCAGAATGAATATTTACAAAGTGAAAGATTGATAACGTGTGAATACGTATTATTAATGTTTCATTGGGATCTCTGCATCCCGATGAAACATTAATAATACATGTCTAACGATATTTTTTTTCGACATAAAATAATGCTATTAATTGAGAAACAACAATGTTTCCCTATACTTGTATGTCTGATGAGTTTGATATTCCTATTTGAAACAATTTAATTGTTATTATTGTATAAAAGTAGTCATTTTTGTCATATAAAATTCTTAATTAAGTTAACCAAATTTTTTTTTATCATAAATGACGGTACATTTTACCTAAAACCATTCAATATAATCATCATCGGTGAAGATAACAAAAATATTATTTTCTAGTTAAAGTTTTAAGGAAAAAGCGACTTGTGTACCTAAATGTATCAAACTAATGAGTATCCCTAAAAACGTACTTTACACAATAAAGTATATAATATATAAATAGTTATATCACAGTTGTTGGCATCACGCAGAATAATATTTTATGTAGATACCTATTAAAATGGAGGTGAATGGTATCACCTCCATTTTAATAATCCTCTTGGGAATGGCGCCCAAACGGTTGTTAATTTATTTCGTTGTGTCTGTTATTTAATACATTATATTATGTACCTATAGCTAAAGGAACTTCGTTCCAACGAAGTATCCCACCCACGGTAACTCTCGTATTTATGTAGGTACTTAAACTAGTCGCTTGTCGATCAATAGATACACGAGCTTAAAACCCTTATAGTTACTAAACCATGACTTTTAAAAATAAATTGATTATTGAGTAATACTTGCAATATTTTTCATTGCAGCTCGGTTTTTATTAGTCGTAGCTTGATTTTATTAAATCTTTCCTTCATAAATGTGCAATCCAACACTAAAATAATTTTAAAATCGTATCAGCAGTACCGGAGTTATCCGAACTGCCTCTTTACCTCGTATCCAAACTTTTTAGCTCTTTATAATAATAGTATAGAATAGAAGTATAGATTAATTATTATTCAAATATAACATGACTTGACGTGTCGATATTAATTAAAAACGAGCTGAGTCAGTTCCTGTAATCTCGAAATCACTCCGAACTGACAGTAGATTTGATTTATCATAAGATTCTGTAATAGAATAAAGGTATTTTGAATTATGAAATTTAAGACAATACTTTATAAAAATATTTGTTTGAAATTTCGAAAATAAACTTAACAATAGTAGTGACGTCTGTTGCATTCATAGAATCAACAGATTACACACACAAAAGTTGAACAGTTCGTTACTACTACTACTGGCTAGCTTTCAATTGCAGTTTGATTTAAATGTATTTGAATTCAGGTGAATAAGGCAACTTAGCCCGAAGCTGAGCGAGCTCATGAAAAATATTTGGGCGGGCGCCAAGTACTGACTGCTCGAATCGCGGCCGTCGCGACGTAGGTGCTGCGTCGCGACACTCGACTGACCGACACATATGCAATACTGACGTGTACAACCATATAACTAGAGTTCGTCGTTTATCGGTTAACAGACGTCTGCCCGATACTATTATAATTATAATGGTTATAGCTGAAAGTCATTTAACTTGATTAGAAACATAGATGGCGGATTATTCAGCTTATATACGTAAATGGAAAACTTTCAAATTAATCTTTTACTACCATCAACAAACTAATATATACACAACAAAATATGCATGAAATACCACTAAGTTTTCATGTAATTTTCATGAGTAAGTAATACTAAAAGGCATAAATATGAAACAGTCTATTTACAAAAGAATAGTTGAAGTTTTCTAGGATATACATAGATATAAATTAGTAGGTTTAAAAAACAACTTTATTTATTTATGTGATTATTAGATATAATTTTATGTCACACTTACAGCGCTTTATAGTTTAGTCACATGAGTGCGGAAAATATATATTGTACACATTTATTTAAAATATCAGTGTATTTTTCGCTTTTTATTAATTAATTAGGTAGAACGAAGTTGTTTTTATATTATTTACTGTTCGAATGTTGTTATGTCGACTAATACTAAAATATTAAAAAATACTTTTTAAATCTAAGGGATTAGTAATTTGAATTCATATTGTTGTTTTAATTGCAGGTGAGTAACGGCAATGTCATCGATACAGGAACACCTACCCTACTGGTATTTACCATTTATTTTCTTGGCACTTGTATATGGCAGCATGTCTTACTATAATAATAGCAATAATTAGAAATCATTGTTTCCTAATCACACACTTATGCCTGTTTCTTCTATCACGTACTTGCAAGATATGCCTGTTTTTGTGCTACAATTCGTATGTTGTTGTAGAATATCTCTGTAACACTATTTTTCACTTTATTGGGGATTAAGAACTACACATTATTTCAATCTGGGTGGCGGCCGTAGGCTCTCCCGTTGGTTTCAATTATATCAAGTATGCCAAGTGCTACGTTCCACACGACGTCGTCAGTTAATAACGCCTCAGACTACCCCATTTAGGACAATAGTCATGACTGTGTTTTATTAAGAATTATATTTAACAATACAATAAATATTTTTTACATGTGATGTACATGGTTAGTCTCACCGTTAATTTAATGAAAACTTTAATTACATTATTTTCATCTTGGCATGGCATTGATGCAGACAAGAAGCTGGCACGCAATATGGAACGCTTTGATCGAAAAGTAGGTTGTTTAGTTTGTAAATATTTAATTTCATAATTCGGACGTTATTTATTGTTTGCAATGTCACCCCATTGCATACATAAAATATGTCAGCATGAATGTTTGAAAAGAAAATCCACTTTCGTTATAGATATCCTTTTGTGGCCAACTTTTACAAGTGATTATTTTTGAAAATGTTACATTTTTCAAAGCATTGTTACAGCTGCATTCGTTTGTCGGGTCCACTTTGTTTTCCTACGCCCCAACATACATAAGTAATGCATATGCACATTCTACTCGATGTCTGTAATTTGGGCATGTTAGTTATAAAAACTATTTTAAGATTATTTATTTAAATATTTAAGAAATTAATATGTATTGATAAATTAAACTTCAAACCTCTGTCTTTAAATATTTCTAAATGGCAACCATGCTATTGACACCATTCTAGCGCGTGCTCTGCATACATACTATTTCTGATCAATTCATATTACGTACTCCAACTTGAACTCTGTGGAAAGTGTTCAAAGTTTAAATAGGTATACCAACAGCCTGTTCAACAGAATACATTACAAGGCCCCGCACAATCGTTGCATATTCAATCAAATCAGCCACCCAATTGTGTGTAACTAAGCATTAATTTCTTTTAATACTCAATATTATTTTTTGCAAATCGAATATCTAAGTACATATTTTTTAACACTGAATTTTAACGTACAAGTGGAACCTATTATATAAAATAATAACTAAAATAAACACAGATGTAAAAAAAAATATAATTAACAGATTAATATTGTATAATCTGGTACACTTTATATCGTATCTATATATGTAATATATATTTTTAGGCGAACTATAAAAACGTAGCAAGACTAGGAAGATATGTATATATAATGACTTTAGTTACAACTATGTTCTTATATAGTGAGAATAAACAGGTAGTAGTAATAATATCTACGTTAACAGTTCAATTGGGAATTATAAGTTTTTACAGCACAATTAGACTACTTTTTATACACTTGTTTGTCAGGCAATAAAAGAACTTTTGTCGGATAAGGAAAATTCTTTGTATGCCTGTTCCTGGCTAACCTTGTACTTAGTAAGGCATGTGCAACTTGTACCTACATTATGACATTATTATTTGACATGTGGCCTTCTTTTTATTTTGTCTTTTATGACATCATCTAGGTTAGTTTAATTACATGCATCCAAAGTTGTAAACAAATGGTATCTTACTTTTGAGAACATTAAAATCTCATAGATACTAATATGCATGCAATCTCGTCTGTGGTGAAATTACAGAGTACGGAGACTGCTTTTGGACCAATAACGGAAGACTATGATTTTTTATGTCATTGGCGCCACGAGCATCACATTATTATGTTATGCGGCATTGCCATTCCAGAGGCCTAAGGTCTAATAATATATAAGGTATAATAATAATAAAGTCTTATCCCATTTTAAAAAATTTGTCTCGAATTAAGACTACCACTTTCCATGACATTGTCCTCTAGATCTTTGTTATTTTAGTAACAAAAAAATATCTGTGTACTCCTGTATGAAGGCAGAAGCATGTTTTATGTGACGTGGTCTGCAGTTGCGTGCAAGGCTATTTCAGTTGCTGTCTAGAGGATGATATAGTCAATGCAAAGTCTGCCAAGTGCGTTCAATAATCTTAGTCGTCATAGGACTTACTAAGAAGAGTTGTCCTGAACATCACAGTATGATGTCTTTGTTGTTATTCCTGCTTACAAAAAGGATTTGTAATTCTTTGCTTATATGCATTGTCTTTAGCATTGGTAAATGTAATGTCTATGATTTAAATTGGTAGGTACTATTATGATGCGTAAACTGTAAGCAACCATAATCTTATGTTTATACACGACTAGATCAAATGAATAACGTATCCTTATTTCCGTAAAGATGCGGCTAACAATGATAAGAAATCTAATACGACGGGATTTACGTTTGAGAAGGGTTCACCAGATACTGTCTTTGAGGCTATGTCCCTGTCCCCTCATGTAGAATAAAATTATTAGATTTTACCAAACTGTGAGTCTACTTTTGTATCTACTGTACATTATTATTTCTAAGGCTTTGCCTACCAAAAGTAAAGCTAAAATGTTACCTTTATGGAATCACTTTGTTGTCCACCTGACTGTTTACCCGGCTATCTATCAAATCTCAACTCTGATCTCAATCATCTTTCGATATATTCAATGTTGATAAACCGAATTCTACGAATATTACTTTATTCAAAAATAGTCTTATATATACCTATGGCGGATGGTCGACTGTTAGGTCCATTATTATATATTTAAAATGAACTCAGGCTGGATATTATTACATATGTTATTTTATTTTTAGAACTAAGTAGATGACTCACGTAAATTCGTCTGCGTTCCTACACAATAGAGGAATAAGAGAGGAAGCTTTCAAAAGGAATAAATTTTGCGCGTTAATCCAAAATGTTTCATTAAATCTACGTTCTTATTGGTCGTAGCATTATGTTACAATATAGCCTATAGCCATCCAAAAATAAATAAAATTTACAATATTAAAAAAAAATCTATTCGAACTAGTTTCTGATATTAGAGAATTCCCATCAGGTTCCGAGCATTCAAAATAATACCTTTTTGAAAAAATAACCTGGTAAAATAAAGTAGCTCTATAATTATATGAATTGCGTAGTCTCGACGTAAACAATTGTGGACTGGTATCGACAGGAAAGTTCAAATGGGAACGTATATCATGTCACCTTTGTACGTTGTCGTGCATCGAAGTACCATTAAGGCCTCCACTGGACCAGTGCCAGACTTGATATATTATTAGCACGACGACATCATTCGAGTTAATCAAGCTCAAATACGATCAATATTTCGCGTAAGTAATGTTCTCAGGGCCGGCTGATCCCGCGCAACATGTTGACATATGTCGGATTCAATCCCTGCCAGCTCAGATCACTGCCGGCACTGACAATGAGCTACACATCCTGTCTTAAAAGTTTTGAAATATTACTACGGTAACCTAAAAACGAGTTTAAATAAACACATTAATTTGTTAGAAACGTAACGCAAAATATTTAGATGAGACTTAATAATGATTGTTTTGCATAAGTTCCCATTGCAGATCGTTTTCTCAATTTCTTGTAGGGATTTTCATAAACTATCTGAAAGATTATTTTATACAATAAATGTAAATTTATTTACGGTTTCGTTGTATGCAGAAGAGAGCCTTTGTAAAGGCTCTCTTCTGTATACAACTTCAAGTCTGTAAAATTTTTATGGTTCCGTACATAAATTAAATTGTTCATCCTAAAAGAAGGAACATTTCACTGAGTAAGTGGTATTATTTTATTTTCAATACTATGTAAATTGAAATTAAACGTTAAACAGTTTACTACTTACATACATTATAGTAAGCGAACCGGTCTCGAAATCGTCTCTTTTCATGGAACTTGTACTCAAAACAGGCCCACCAGCAGTACTAACTAGTAACGTGACCAAGTATGCTACTAACCTAACCAACAACGCTGTCCACATCAAGTGATGTTACATATTTTTTAATTTAAAATAATTATAGCAAACAGTTTTTGTTCAGCATATCTGATGTTGGGTCGAATTGTTTTCGTAAATAATTGAATTTATTAGTGTTCAATATTAATAGCTCTTACATGACAATATTCATAATTGTGAAAACTATCCTTACTACGGACAGTTATTTGGAAAGAATTTTGCCCCATTCTTCCTTTTGTATGTTAGCCATTGTGTTTAATTTTTTCATGCCGATACCTGTCTGTGGCTGATATAAAAGTTTCTGAATAGAATAATACCAGGTGAACATTATAATATTTTTAATTCAATTATTCCAATTTTAGATAATTTAGTTTAAATGCGGTACCCTAAAATACAATTTTGATATATCATAATCAATTTTAATCTGGATTTAATTAAATATAATTTAAAGTATTCAAATAAAAACAGTTAATTAACGTGATCGGTGACCCGTAAAATAGGGTGCAGTTTCAAAGAGTGGCTCGCGGTTCATGCATGGTTGGGGCAGAACACGTGTGCCTGGCCTAGCGCCCAACATCCACCACGCCGTGGTCGGATGCAATGAGATTTCTACCTTTGTCGTATTTTATTTTACATTAATAACTAAATTACTGTCGTATTTTGTATTTTAACAATTATCCTTTCCATAGTGTAAAAAATAACAGAGTACTTTTTTACTTATCCGGAATGGCAAACAATCTGACGGCTATAGGTACAAGGGACACTACGACTACGGACGTCACGTTATCATTTGACACTCGTGACCTATGCGTTGTCATTCCGGAGAACTAAGATGTGATTCTTCTTGCCCTGTAATTTTACTGTCTCAGTTATCTCACAATTTAACCGAAAAATGGCTTACAAACCTAGCTGTTTAGTGACTTTTTGTATAGTCTAGCTCGGTACGTCATAAATACTTAGTTATAGTGTCTTTAATGGA